CGGTCCCCCCTCCTGGTAATTATTGCACAGTCCCTAATTCGTCAAATTATAGAATAGCCATTCCAGATGTCTATAGAACACTTATTATGCGCGCGCATGTGAACTGTTGAAGCTTGGCGCACGCTAATTTTCGCATTAATTAATTAATTGATTAATTTGCACTGAAGAAGATCTGAGACATGATCGAGACGTCTGTTATTAAAAAATAAGCTAGAAACTACTAGATATTTATACTAATTATGAATCCTAGCTGCAACAACCATATCTATTGAAGTACATGTAGTGTTTTCCTGCATTGATAATAATTATAATAGTATATAGCGCTTATATTCAAGTCTGTTCTAAGCGCTGTTTGTAACAAAAAATAATCTTAAAATAATAAAATATTGACTAAAGAGAATTGAAAGGCTGTTTTAAAGAAACAGATCGGATTTGAAGGCAGTTAAATCATGAATTTATGTAATGGAAGTAGGTAGAGAGTTGCAGAGAGGAGATACAGTAACGGAGAAGGAGTGTAGGGCATAGGTTTTCAGGTTGTAGAACGTGGAAGACAGCGACAGGTGTTTAGACGAGCGAAGATTTCGAGTAGACCGCCGATGAAAAGAGATTAATTCTTCACTGTAACTGTTAAAAATAGCTGTTTTTATTATACAAGTTAACATATYAGAGATATAGTGTCAGAGATATCTTGATAACGACAATCATTATTTTATCCTTTATTTAGATACCAAACCGCCAAAAATTACAAAATACAAAAACAAAGTCACCGTCATGGGATCTCAGCAGCTTGAGGTAGCATGTCACGTGGAAGGAAATCCCATTCCAGATGTATTATGGGTAAGAAACAACCAAACGCTTGCAGAATGCACTGGGCATGTACTAGAGACCTCTAAGAAATGTAGACCTGCGGTAAATCAAAACTCGGCTCGGTTTGCAGTCAAGTGGATGGGTACCCATTCTAAGTTACAAGTTTATAGTGCGTCGCACATGTACGACGGAGGGAGGTTGAAATGTGTGGCGAATAATCAAGTTGGCAAAGTAGAAGCAGATCTTGATGTTATCGTCCACGGTAAGATTGGAAATCTATTGTRAGATGGCAATAAATAACGAAAATTAATTASTGGAAAAATGAATGGAATGAATGATTGAAAAGAGACGAAAAAAGACATTTGGACACACTGTTAAATATTTGGACGAGCAAATGCGACGGGATCCGTGAATGAAGAGAACAAACAGATAAACAATAATGATAAAGCGAAATAGATAAACGAAATGAATGGACGAAAGAAAAGATGAACAAAGAAACGAAATAAAGAARAATGTGCGAGCAATGGAAGGAATGATCAAAAATGTGTATGARAAATATGTATGTTGTGAAAACATGTTAATTTAATCCYTTTAATCTGATTATAGAATCACCCAAGCTGATGAAACAAGGTGAAATCGCTTCGTATTACGCGTCGTTCGGCGACCATCGAAAATTAGTGATTGACATCCTCAGTGGTAATCCTCCTCCACACTACCATTGGTTCAAGCAACAAGCAGATCACTGCATGAGATCGCCAGGAATATGCAAGCCACGTAAGCGACGGTGGATTCCAAGCAGTCATGAAGTAGCTCCCCCTCCTGGAATACGATCAACGCGTAGTATCATATCGTTACCGCCCACWAGGCGAAGCTTCTTCTACAAAGTGGAGGCTGTGAACGATGTGGGAAATGATACACAAGTATTTTCTGTTGTAAGGATCGGTAAGTCATGACGTGAATGATAGTAAGCTTGCTTGTTTGCTTTTGTTTTGTTATTGCTTATTTATTTGTTTGTTTGTATGTTTGGTGMTCTGTGGTGTGTGTTGTAGTCTAGCGTTGTGCAGTGATTTGTGTGGTTTGTTTTATTTGTCTCGTTTTTTGTTGTGTTTTCTTTTTTGTAGTGTGGTGTTGTATGTTGTGGGATGGTGTTGTATGTTGTGGGGTGGTATTATATGTTGTGGGGTGGTGTTGTATGTTTTGGGGTGGTGTTTTATGTTGTGGGGTGGTGTTGTATGTTGTGGGGTGGTGTTGTATGTTGTGGGGTGGTGTTGTATGTTGTAGTGTGGTGTTGTATGTTGTGGGGTGATGTTGTATGTTGTATTGTAGTGTTTTATGTTGTAGTGTAGTGTAGTGTTTTATGTTGTAGTGTGGTGTTGTATGTTTTAGTGTGGTGTTTTATGTGGCGTAGTTCTGAAGACCGAGGATTTGTCAATTTGTACATGTTACTCGTCAGCCTCGTGAATCAACATTCGTTTCCGTTTTCAGTGGATCAAATCAAACCCGAAGTATCGACTCCGCGAGGAAGAAATATTGACGAATTCAATTCARTGGAAGTACAATGCAAAGCTAGTTTAAATGATTTCGATGCTGTTGATATCCAGAGAAAGGACGGTGAACAAATACCTGACAAACGAGCCAGAACAACAACCAATCGGATCAAAGATGATATGGTAATGACCCTTTTGATTGACAACGTTACTATGGGTGACGGGGGGTCGTATCTTTGCCTTGGGTATAATGCTGATAAAACTAGCCACGTGGAAGTCAACGTCACAATAGCAGGTAACTGAAATACGTATATAAACAAGGGATGATTTAGGGAGGGGTGGGGTGGCGTTTATGATGTCTAGCGACCCCATGTTTAGGGTTCAAAAATGTACAAAATAGAATATGCTATACATGTAGACAAATRAAAGAAGAAATTAAATGGGACTCAATGGAACAACAACTAAAGCTGCGTCTATCTTTAAAAAAATATTTTTCGCAGCTCCAAATCTATCCATTCATTTTTTTTCTGAATATAATAGCTATCTATCTTTGTAATGTTTTGGTTCCGCCGCTGTATAATTGTCATGTGACTTTGAAATACTATATATAATTCAAGTCAATAATAGTCTTCTTCATGGTTTCCTGCGTCATCTTGAAAGGTAGCCGTGCCTTTACATCGAAGCGAGACGACCGTTGAGCGTGCATTGATTGATACCTGTGAATAATTGTCTGTAGGTGTAAAAGAAGGTTTCTATCATTGCACGCTCAACGGTTGTCTCGCTTCTATGTAAAGGCAGGGCTAACTTTCAAGATGGTGCAGTGAACCGTGAAGAAGACTATTSTATTGCACAGGACTTGACTGAATAACAAAATTTTCGTTTCGTATTTCTAATCTTTTTCAGCTGCTGTAGCGCCAGTAGTTACCTTATCAAATAAAACTATACTAAACACTATTGGACAAGTCAGTCTTCATTGTCACGTGGTATCCGGGCATCCAAAGCCACAGATCACGTGGTATAGAAACGRTAATCGTATAAAACTAAAGCCCTTRGGTCCYGAGGGTAACTGYACGTCGTTTGCTCATGGATTCTACCATCCACACGGGTTAGAAGCATCAATATCTGACTATTTAGTGGTGTGCGACCCTAAACACCAACTGAATACTGGCTGGTATACTTGTAAAGCTCAGAATATTCTTGGGGAGTCTGAAGAAACGAAGTATTTGAACGTTCACGGTATGTTTATAGCTGTATTTTAGCTGTATTGTTGGCTGATTCCTTCCAAACTAGAAGAGCAATAATGGTATAAACTGTAACAATGAAAGTCACATTCAACATTCAACAACAACAACAAATAACAACTACAACTTCGACTACAACAACAACGACAACAAAATGGTACGTAATAGCAACAATTAAAACTACAACAACACTAACAACGAACAACAACAACAACGACAACAACAGCAATATGCAACAACATGAAGCTCCATGGTACCCTATTCACCTAGTTTCATATGTAACCGATCATTTTGTTTTAGCTACCTTCTTTGGCATCCCTTTCTTCTCCTCTTACCCCTCATCCCTTTTCTACTGAGGGCAGTCATCCTAAATAGCTAGATTTAGAACACTTGGAGGACAACCTTCATCTAAATTTCTCCACAATTAATTGTGCTATTCAATCCAATGGTTTTTGCTGCATTTCAGAGGCGCCGTCACTTCGTCTTGAGCCAGATGATTCGCAGATATCCATAAAATATGGCCACAGCTTGGATATCAAGTGTTTGGCAAACGGAAATCCTGAACCCATGATCAATTTTACTAAAACTGGTGCGGACGGGGGAGATGAGCGACCAGTAGAAGCAAAGCATATACGTGAAATCAGTGGTGGTAAAAGGATTTTTGTACCGCAAGTAGATGATTCTCACTATGGTCAATACATATGTCGGGGTTCGAATCCGCATGGTAGCAAGACTGTTAGTCTCTCTGTTGGTAAGATAACATATATTAGAGGGGATTTCGTATGATATTAGAAAAAATTGAAAATTAATTGATTATTATTAGCAGTCATCATCATCATTATCATCATAGTCAAAAGACGTTATCAGCATCAAGATCATGATCATCAGCCGAAATCGTCATCAATATTAGCCCATCCTAAACCATTGCAAAATCTTAAAATCAAAGGCTTTCTTACTGTTAACACTTTGGCCAGRCTGTTCAAAGCTTGAATAGCGTGAATTTATAAAGAATTCCAAAATTTTAGAAATTCATAATTCATTATTCCAGGATTAGCGTTGATCGAGCTTTGAAAAACGTCAGGGTTGTATTTCACAGGGTCCTTTGACGCTGGTTTTCAAAGCAATATTTTTAAGAAGGTGCAAAAAATAAAGCTGTATCCGTTAGTTCAGTGTGTGGAAGCAGGGCCATAGCCAGAGTGAACAGATAACCGACCGCCAAAGACGGAAGAAACTAGGGGGGTCTCTCGGAAATGCGATCTGTAGCGTTTTGTGGGCCTTTTTGGTAATTCTTTATTGAACAGACTTAACCGGAATWTATTTTGCCATATTTATGAAACAAAGAAGCTATACGTACAAGATTAATATCATTTTTATATTTTTTGCACAAAATCAGTCGTACGAAATCGGCTCTGAGARGCTAAAATGATATTAGTGTTGAAAAACAAAAAAGCATCGGCAAAATTTTACCGAGGCGAGTGCCTCGGTTGGACTCTTACTAGCTACGGCACTGCGGAAGTTCGTTTAGACTTCACTTACTTTTGCGTTTAGAACAATAGGTTTCTATGGCCTCATGTTGATGTCATGTGTCTTCAAAGTGAGTTTTGTACGTTAGGACCCTTCCGAAACCTATATACACCCCTTAACTCTCAGCTCAAACAGCTCACTGAAGGTTCATTTATCTTTTCCAGCGAGTCCTTACGTTCTTGGTGTACGACAGTCAACTCCCAAGAATCATCTGATAGCTGCGATTGTTGTTAGTATTCTCTTAATTTTGTTTCTGGTAGTATTTGCGTTGATACTTTACCGAAGGAGAAAAATGTATGGTGGATTCTATCTCTGTACCACACCACCTCTGCCAGACCTTATCAAAAGCCTGGATCCTACTTCTCCATTGATTGAGCAAGTTCATAAGTTGCCATATGATCCTGTGTGGGAGTACCCACGGAGAAATATTTTCTTTCGTAAGTTCTTCATTTCTTACTCTCTAGTTTTTGTGTTTGCTTCCTGATCTCTCTCATTCCCTTCTTTCCTTCCGCTTTTCCTTGGAATCCTTTCCTATTTAACTTCCTTTCTCGTTTCCCTCTCCTCTTCATCACTTTCTCGATCCCTCAGTTTCATTTGTTTATTTTTTTTCGTTCTTTCCTCGCGTTTTATTCCATTTTTTCTTTCATTCCGTCTCCCTTGTTCTCCCTCTATCTCCCTTTTTTCTATCTTCTTTCTTCATTTTTTAATGGTAATTGACCCTCTTTAAAAAACCAAGGTGATTTATTTTCAGGCGATGTTCTTGGTACGGGTGCATTTGGTAAAGTATACTTGGCAGAGACAGAAGGATTTCTCGTGATAGACGACACGTCTTCTGTAAGCTCACGGCATAGGTTGGCGAAACGCAAAGATTACAGAAGAGTTTCAGCTGCTACCGCAAAAACAGGCACTTTAAGAGTCGCTGTAAAATCACTAAAAGGTGGGTGTWTGTAGCATCTGTTAGCCTGCAGCTGGGACGTCGCGTTCTTATGCGGTTGCCATTTGTTGTTTCTTTGTAGTCGTATGGGCGTCTGTGGTTTTCTGAGAAAGACCTAAACAACGTCTTTATGAAAGCTTTAAGGCAGTAGCGTAGTGTTTGGTAAAGCGAGTTTGCAGGAGTGAATAAAAATGCGGTTAGATCTATCCCTTCGCGAATGCGCGAAAACTCTGACCTTCCTGACAAAAGTGACCTTTTGCCTACTTTTTTGGTTTTAAAACAAAACTATAAACCAAAACATTCCTAAAGGACGTTTTTGATGAAAATACATGTGTAGCGATGCCTTGGATGTGAATATAGTATAAAATTGAAGACCTCTGAAGGCACGATTCTACTGTGCTCTTGTATTTCAAACTCATTTTCACCTATGCCGCCTTCATCACTGAATTGCATACTGTATTAAAGTAGTTTTACGAAAGTTATAAAGACAGAGCTCATTGTTTTTCTATTGATATTCTTAGGGTTGCTTTCATGAGAACTCGGTTGCGAATGCACATAAATTCGTCTTGAAGTAATTTGTAAYCTTGTATGCTTTTTTTAAAGAAAATGCTACCGAGTCTGATCACAGCGATCTTCTGTCAGAGCTCAAGATACTGATCCATGTGGGAGCTCATAAAAATATCGTCAACTTGCTTGGTGCTTGCACTAAAGGTTAGATCTAAATCACTGATTACACTACTTTCATATCAACCCTTGTGCCTGAATTACAAAAACGAGAAAAATGGAAACACCATTAGTCAAACTTGGATGAAATGTTCATTCCAATACACGACTTTCAAAAATGGCGGTAGTTCACGATCGTCAAAATCGGGGGGCTAGTGACGAATCATAGAAACGAGACCCCAAAGACCTTACATCTTGAAAACACCMACCACGAAGATCGCATTTAGGCAGTGTCAAACTTTGAGAGATGTATTGGTATGTTATTTAAGAGAAAACGCTCTTTCAAAACACCATGGAAGTTTATAGTGCTTTGTCCCCAGTGCCCTGTTCGGTGACCGTGACATTATCGACCRCTGATCATAATTAATTTGTAGGAGCCATGCAGGACCTTTGGATTATCATTGAATTCTGTCCCCAYGGAGATCTGCTKCATTATCTAAAAGACAAACGTGAAATATATGAACCTACSTGGGAAGCACCGACGGACGATCCTCAGCTCCAGTTCTCCTTGACAGAGCTTGTYAGCTCGGCATATCAAGTCGCGCGGGGAATGGACTTTCTTTCTTCGAGAAGGGTGAGTACGAGCATCTAATGTCCTTTTTTCAGTTCAAAGCGCATGACGACCACTGCGAGTGATCGCTTTTGAAGGTGAAACAAGCATGCGTATTGCAATAACTACTTAGACACCTGACTGTTTCAGYACAGAATTTCCCTATTGAATCTGCAGTGTATTCACCGAGATTTGGCGGCAAGGAATGTTCTTGTTGGTGAAAATTATGTCATGAAGGTCGCTGACTTCGGTTTRGCGAGAGATGTATACAGAAATGATGAATATGTGAAACAAACTCCGGTGAGTACAACATCAAGAAACCGTCTTAGAATTTGTATTAATAAATCATGTTCCCCTTTTAGGGACTAGTTCCCATCAAATGGATGGCCCTGGAGTCTTTGGTGGACAAAGTGTACTCTCAAAAGAGCGATGTGTAAGTAAAGTAACAACCTCGCCCCCAGTCCCTTAATCCTTCGTTTGAGATCACGAGAGGATAAGAGCCTGGGAACCAGTTTGATAAAGTTCAAATTTCCTTGGCACTTAGGGTCATATTGGTGTCAAAGGTCCTGGTAGGGTCAGATTAGTGTCAAAGGTCCTGGTAGGGTCAGATTTAGAATGATATTATGGCTAGATTAGGGTCCTATTCGGTTTGAGTGTCGTCAAATGTCCAATTAGGGTCAAGTTAGGATCGAATTAGGTTTGAATTATGATCGAATTAGGATTAGGGATGGGTTGCCAATCGATCGCAAAGGTTCGTGGGTGCTAGTGCGCATTAAAGCCTAACGTCTATAGAGTTCGTATTTACTGTGTCCCAGAGGATCCCATAATTTCTTAGACAATTTATTCTGCAAGCAGTAAAATCCAAGATGGCCGCCGTATCGAAGGTCTATTGAAATAGCTACTAGTACCTACTAGTTCCTCTCAACTGATAGATTTATTTATTCAATGTTTTAGTTGGTCGTTTGGTATTCTCATGTGGGAAATATTTACACTTGGTAAGTTAAACTCGATTTTGATCTTCATTTGATCCTTGGTTTTATGATATTTTTACTTGTTTTTGTAGGAGGAAACCCGTACCCTGAACTCCATCCCGGTGAAGTTTATGAATACCTCTTAGAAGGCAAACGGATGTCTCTTCCTGACAATTGCCCAGAAGAAATGTAAGTACTAGTGTCTAAATGAGGTAGGAATATACTGGTTTGATATGAGTATGACATGAAAAATATACACAGGACAAAATGTAGGACGAAGACTTAGAAAACGCGCGCGTGGGAAGTGTCTAAGTGTAAAAGCAACATTAATTAGTCGGGATAGACGGGCTAGGCTTTAATTCTACTCCTTCGTCAATCTATGTATCTATCTATTCTATATGTATCTATATATCTTTCTATTATGCACCGTATGGGAATTAGACAGGAAGCCCAGGATATTGCCTACAATGCTTTATGTCCCAGACTGGACCAGCACTCATGGAGAGACATGTTTCTGGCTTTGACATGTTTCTAGCTTTACACGTTTCTCCACTTGAGAATGGTTAGATCACCAAGGCTTCTCTGATCGATAAGGACGTTAAACTGTAGGGGCCTCCTGCACTGCAGTCCAACTGATCTAATCATGCAGAATCTATTTGATTAACTTAACGTTTTCAATGTTCGTAGTTATGATTTAATGAAAGACTGTTGGATGCACAGTCCAGACGATCGACCTACATTCAARGAGCTGGTTCTGACACTTGACAAGGCAATCGAATGCAATATGCCTGCAATGGTACGTTCATCTTAGAAAGCGTCAATGTGACGTAATCGTCATTGTTGATCTTACCTTCGTCGTTGTTGTTATTGCCGTGATTGTCGGTGTTGTTGTTGTTGACTAGCATTTTTATATTCATCACGATTGCAATAGTCCTCTGAAGCTTTTACATCATGTACTGTATACGCAATGTATTGTAGGATATGTTTTTGGGGCAAAACATGGCGGCTTTCTTTTGTTTTCTCTAGAAACTGATCGGCACAATGCATTGCAAATCAGGTTGTGACGTAMAAGCTTCAGAGGTCTATTAAAATGGCTATATAATGAATTGTGTGCATGTTGTCTATGTTATGCTAAACGTAAAAAACATAGATTTAAAATCGCCATGCTACTCTCCATAGGGAAGGGAAGCATACTTAGAACTCGATAACGTCGAAGACTTGAAAGACACGAACGATAACAAAGAAATCGATGGATATCTCCAACCAACTGACATCATCACTACACCAGAGGAATCCCAAGAAAAAACATCCGGGGACTTAAGTGAACCGAATCACGACTACACAGAAATCCCAGACATCTTACCAACAACAAACGGATTCGTAAAAGGAAAAGAGATGAACAATATCAACGAGAAAGAGAGCCTTATTAAGAAACCTTACGAATACGAAATGGCCATGAAATGCCCAAGATATGTTAACATGGAAGATGCGGATAGCTCAACTACAACGATGCTTTAATTAAAATAGAGATAGTCTTAGTCTTAAAATAACACATGCGTAAAAGAATTCAAGAACCGTCCTCTCGTCCTGAGTGTACAATGACACTTGCAAACATTAAATCCAGGACAGTAAGCGATAAAAATGCCCAAAACTGACCAAATAAATCTTACGTAAAACAATTAATATTGTTATTCAAAATGCAACTAAACATCCCTCAAATGTATTCTTATGGGACTTGACTTTATCACTTTCATGGTCGCAAGTAGTACATTATTCAAATTTACGGGATTCTCTAACGCTAATATATGCGCTTTTAGTGATCATGGGCTCTTTTTAAATTGGCTATGCTTGGGTAACATGGCTTATCATTGTAGATATAAAATCAGTTTCCCTTAGTGACATACAGCTCTTTCAGACGACATTGAATACTTTATACTGCATTCCAAGCCCGCAATGCATTGTTATTATATTCTACGCTATTGCGTTACAATACGCCAATTCCAAACTTTTAATTGCGTCCCACTAAAGTTCTAGACAGTAAGGATCTCGTATAGGCACTCAGAAACCACGAAAACTCCTTCTGAAAGACGATTGAGCAAACAATAATGCATTCGGTACTTGGAATTCACTATTTTCTGTTTTCAACGTTTTTTGAAATAACTRTRTGCTGTATAAATGCAGATCGCAAAAGATTTAAAACTATACATGTACGTTGAATATACTTCTAATATATATCTGTATCAAGTTAGATACAACTGCTTTAAAAGATAAATTGAATTTGTAGGTGAAAATAAAGATAGGCATTGATGTTGTAATTTTATCAACGAGGAAAATCTCMCTTCAAYTTTATCGCCATCGGAATAACTCAATGAASCATCAGACCGAAATTATAGGTAAATTCTAAATAACAATAAAAAAATTCTAGTAAGTAAAGTGTCTCTCTACGTTTTTAATAGTTAATCGTTATTGTTACAAGACTGATCACAGAGGTTAGATGTTTACTTTTAATACTGTTATTCATACGTGCCAGGAAGGCTATTTTGGTTTCTGGTCGGAGACCATGGACAAGGTTTCATCTTTGTCATAAATGAAATCAACGGGCTGGGACTCTCTTTTTTGGAGTCTTGTATACGTTCGACGTCGACGCATGTCTGAAAACGTGTCAAAGTAATGTCAGTCATAATCAAAGACTTAAAATCTTATCGAAACAATTACAATCCGTAACAAGACGCTTGTCAGCGTGCACTCGGGGTTCTTTTTAGCGTGTCTCTTGGTTTAATGATACATAGAATATTGGCAACGTCTTTCATTTGAATAACTATAACAATTATATTTTTGGTGGCGCCACATTTTGTTGTGCGATTGTCATCAATGTAGCTAAAAATTTCTTTCCAAGGAAAAAAAATCGTACAAGAACATTTATTTAGAAGAACGGCTACTTCTGAATTATACTCATGTCGGTATAGTAGTTATAGCTTTGAATATCAGTAGCTTTCTATTAGTTCATGATTGGCTTTGGATAGATGAAATGGCTTGTGTATCATAATAACTTAAGTCACAATAAGCTTGATAAATTCGACATATTTTAGTGTGTCTATACCGCGAATTCCGCTTTGTGGATTTGTAAGTGATTTGAGCGTATTTTTGAAGAAGAAGCAATGCCATAAGTCCATCGACGAAGAAGCTGCTGCAATTAGCACTTGACGCATGGGACGAGACAAGACAGGCTAGGAACGCCTGGCTAGTCTGGCCGCGATTTGGCGATGAATGCGAAAAAAAAATAAAAATAAAAATAATAACGCCGAAACCGAAACTCGCGGTTCCACAGGAACCCCGAGTATTTATATGCATTTGAAATCACTAGCAAATCTAGAAATCTGACTGACACAAGTTGGCTCAAAATAGTGCGATTGTATCTGAATCGCACTATTTAATTACTATGCAAAACTATCTGGAGTCATTCAATCAGATAACAGGATTGTGGTTTAGTAAACCAATCAGATTACAGCAAAAAGGACACATAAAATGCATCTCCACGGTCGTGTGATTTTCGCGCGTTTGATTTCAGACAAGTCAGACCAAATTCCACTCCACTCARTGTTTAATTACTATTATTAATGATAATAATATCTGAGACAATGTCTTTTCAATATGCGAGCAGGCCGTGAATAGTTTGCTGTGGAACTGTTCTGAACACTTTAACAAAGGGTTTAAAATTTAAATTAATTCTTCAAACGATCGATTCAATGTGTTCATAACGATATCTCATAGCATTCTAAAAGTCCTAGGGTCTGTTGTGAATTTATTGCTTAGCTCCCCTGTGCATCCCATAGTTTCTTACAGAAAAAAATAGAATCCAAGAKGGAAGTAGATTTTATATAGCTGCATGATCTTAAAGTGCTACTTGCATRCCCTTATTTCAAAGCTTCAAGCAATACAAATATATGACTCATTTATATCTACTGAATATTTGTTTTGGAATTATCCCACATTCTAGAGAAATTTTGATTCAAGAGATGGAAGAACCAAAGGATTGAGTAAATGACGTCATTTACTCCAATATTTTTTGCCCAAATCATTAAGGATTTGTATCAATATCTTCTTGAACTCTGTTGCTTCATGATYATTACTAACTCATATGGATAGGTCTATTTGATTTCCAAGTCTTTTCTAATGTTTCGCAATTTTCGTCCAAGTAGCCCTTTAAAAAGCCCCTCAACCAACATTATTTTAACAGGACATCACAAAACACAATGCATATATGATATATCAATTTATTTCAATTCAACACATAACGTATTTTAAAAACTATAGTATTTCAGTGCCACGTGCAAGGACTATTCTACTCTCTGGTATGAGGGCATCGMAAGGGCTCAGGCTGCTCTTTTTTATTCCTCGTGATTTTTTGTCTGATCAGACCCAAAGTAGAGCCCAATAAATAACTAAGTTATAATTGTTGAACTTCGCGATCAGTTTCAAATTAAAGTTAGATGTAACTCCCCCTCTCCTTCACTGATTGGCTTGAAGGTCTTCCCCCCTCTTTTAAAACATACGTTTACACGACGCCCTGCTCGATGTGCACCTCCGGATTTCTGTATTCGTCTCATTGGCACTGACAAAATGCAAATTTACGGATTAATCATAAGAATATTCATTCCTATTTGATATTAATAAATTCTTCAAGATGTTATATAAGATTAGTATTCTTTACTACAATATTATTTTGCCAAAAAAATGACAAAAACGCTACAAAAATCGAAGCTTATATCATGCGACAAATTGTTGCTAGCCGTGAAAATTAGGCTTAAACTAAGTTAGAGATACGGTGCTGTCATGCATCAATCAGATGTTGTCTTGTACCAGAAACGTATTTCAGGGAGCTATAAAATAAAGAAAAATGAAATGAAATCATRTATGAAATATATTTATGAAAATCAATATTCACGAACTATTAGTCAGGTAAAAGTGTTGTCTCTTTGGCAAGGTGATTGACCTTGTAGATCTGATAGAACCGCGACTTCTACTGCCAAAATTTCGCTATCGTAAATACTTTATATCGCTATCGTAAAACTGACAGCAAGGTCAACTGTGAAGACCATGGGAAATTTATGCTTTAACATGTGATATTTCCAGTTGCTCACCTTTCTTCTTCGTCCGCACTTGGATCAAGCTGGCCGATTCCCCGATCTGTTTATGCACCCCGAGAACTTTGAAGTAGTATAACGTATCAGCTTTGAGATTGTTGAGGATGCATGCAGAAATAGGGCATGTTTTAGCCATGTAGAGGTCACCAGGTTTTTCCCCATAATGCACTATGTTAGACAAAGAAATCCCACTTGYTGTGCTAAACTTAAGGCGAATTATAGAGTCGCTTATAGCCTCGCCAGACACTTCAATAGGAGGTGAAGGTGCTGTAAGAGAATTCAGAATAACTKAGAACTAATGCCAAACGGTCTAATTAAAAGTGATTTGAAATTCATGTTTATACTTTTTAGTGTTTTGCAGTGCGTTTTCCTCCAGCCTGGATATTCTCCTTTACTGGTAAAACCAGTCATTTTTACACAATACCAGGTATATGGCTGAAGACCAGGAACAACACACGTGGTAATATTTCCAGTTGGTGTTGAGTACGATTTCCATTCACCACCAGAACTTAAAGAGAAGTATATTCGATAGCCTTTGATGATACCATTGCGCTGACGCTTAGGTATTGGTCTCCAAGAGACTTGTATACTATTGTGACTGACTGGAACGGCATTGGTAATGACAGGACCAGCATCAGGTACTATATAAAAAGACGATTTCGAAGTTAATGAAATTTAACCAACATATGAATACTGGGGTGTATAAAGACCCGTTTACACAGACGATTTTTGCTGCAATTTTTCGGGCAATTTTCAAATATGTTAAATATTTTGTCTTATCATTCTGAGGATAGGTTTTTAGTTACCTCATCTCAGTGTATTGAATAGAAATAAAGTTTACAAGTTTATTCTTTAGCATTACTCTCTAGGATCAAAATAACCACAAAAGTAGCATAATATAACCACAAAAGTCGCCAATCTGATATACTCACTATCTTCGCCTGTTTTTACGGTGACCTGCGATTTTTTCTTTCCATATGAATTGACTGCATAAACCTGTACAAGATAGTCTGTAAACTTCCTCAGGCCTGMCAATATCCACGGTGTTGTTGACGTTTGGACAACTAGTTCCCATGGAGTACGATTCGGAAGACCGTACTGAAATCGATGAATTAATAAAATTAGGTAATGGTAAGATAACGGAGATTACCTATCGCACACCTTCATCTGGAGAGGGGTTTCTGATCACAAAGTTGTTGAGGAAGAGGTTTACAAACGCATGCAAGGCCTAGCAAAGGTTGAGTTCATGATCACCAATGGCTTTATTGTGAGAGACTGATAGTTATTCCCCATTTCCATTAACTAGATACAAATTAAGATTATTTTTTCCTTTTTCCATTCGAGCAACTTCCCGCAATATTTTTGCACAATATACATACAGTATTTGATTACCTTAACGATGTAATGTGAGATGGATTTGCTATTCTCCGCTGGTTTGTCCCACTGTACTTCCAATTGCCTAGATCCAACTGGAATAACACGTAAATTTATCGGTGGAGAAGGACCTTTGAAAAAAAATCGATAAGTTCGTCAATGGKGATCGGTCAATATGGTAAAGTAAAGTAAAATGAGAAAATATTTGTTTCGATTTAAGTCAGACTCACGCTTGTCAATGCAGTCCTCTGGGCTCAATGAGCCAACCTGTCTTGTCGTGTAACCATAGTCACATGAAGAGCACTTGGCTTGTCCAGGTTTATATTGATAAGTACTGATAGGACATGGTTCACATTGGCCGTCAACCTTGCCGTACGTTCCAGGAGGGCAATGTACTAGTGGAATGAATCATAACAGGATGGTATAGTGCTACTTACTATGGTACAATGGTCATAAGCGACTGATCGACAGCATCAAAAATGCTATTGATCTGACCTAAATTGACTTTTTTAACACATATGCACCTTCCATATACTGAATTTCATCTTAAAATCATCAATGGAACGTACATCTAAAACTCCCAACAGTGTAGGGTTCATTATCTGTACAGCAGATTTGCTGCCGTAATTATACATATTTAAATGTCAGTTCGGTCTCAGCTGATATGTATGAATCGAATCATAAAACATAATTTGCGCAGCTAGTACTGGCCATCTACTTGTTCCGTAGTAAAACAAAAGAGTCTCAGGACTTTGACTCTATTACTCCATTTATCAAGTCAAAGAGGAGAGGATCTTCTTGCTCTCTTCATTGTTAAGCAAGACAATTTTTCTTAGCTCAGACTAGCGCTATACTATCCTCTCTATCACGAAAGAAAATAACAAATCACTGTATATAATTTTCCACTTCAACGAAAGAAAAAACGTACCACACATATATGCATTTGAATGAGGTTCCTCTCCACGTAGACATCCCAGTGGAACACCCCAAACAGTCAAACTATCAAGATCTCCTTTCACCTCGACATCATCTCTTGATACAAGGGAATCATTCTCAATTCTATGGTACAATATTTTTACTCCTTCAGCAAGATGGGCTCTTTTCCTGGCGAACGACTCTAAAATGGAATCTTCAGAATAAGGTCTATCCTTATCGTTTTCGTCTGGTCTGCTACTTTTGTATACAAATCTGACAGTAGTAACTCCTTGGTTATAAGTGCGCCTCATGTCGGCGATTTGTGATTGAGATGAATTCATTGATAAGCTGAGCAAATCTTTCATGTCGTTTTGACGATAAGAYGGACATCTTTTCCTTCCTCGACACTTTTGAGAGATCGAGAAGCTAACTTTAACACCAAATCTAGGTTCACCGGGTGTCATTTTAAGCACCCAAACCTTGGCTATTTTGCTTTCTGCTTGGCCATGYTTATTGGAGGCAACACAGAAGTAGTARCCTGAGTCATCCTCAGTCAGATTTTGATTGTAAAGAAAGGTGCCATTGTTGTGAGGTAGTGCAATTTTTCCACTGTTTGGACGAATTGAAATAAAGAACCAGTCAATCTTTGGGAATGGAATTCCAGTTACGTTACATCTTAACAGAAGAGCATTCCCCTTGCTGATGTACGCCTTGGTGTCGTTAGGGTGTTGCGTTATCTTTGGTTGGCTATTGATGATGATTGTGGTCACGTTAGATGTCACGTAGCCTTTACGATTGCTTGCTTTACATTGGTATGCACCTCCGTGATTCAGACTTGCGTTTCTTATGGTCAAACTGCCATTGGATGATTTATGGATTGTTTTATTTTTGTGGACCCATTCGTAAGTGACCGGCGTGTCACTTTCTGCAGCACATTCAAGTACAATAGTGTCATTCTCAAGTATCACCTGATGTTCCTCTGGAGTAGATAAGATTTCTGGTTTTACTCCACAAAGCACATTAGTATCAACCGTTTGATTGAATAAGTTTTTAAGTTCAGATATCCGTAATTTACATTCTCCAACTGTTAAATTTGTGGCTATCAARTCAGTCAGCTTKTCTGTAATATTTGATAAMGATTCTCTGATGTCATTTGCACGTGGRAAATCGCTYTCATACAGGTACAACTCGTKTAATTCAYTTCCCAAAGTRATGACACAATCTTGTAAACTTGCGCAGTCTTCAAAGGACGACTCTTTGGTTAATACCTCAARGAATGCTCTCCAGTGTATTAGACTYTGGTTCCATGACAATAAAGGTTTATTGTCGTCGGCGTCCACATCGGATCTTAGCAGATTTTTATATGAGTTCAACAGCTCTACTGTTGAATCATCGTTGGAACTCATGGTATTTGAYACGTTTTCAAACTTTTCCAACAAATCCATAAGTGAGGTGTCATTGCGCTCAATGCGATTTTCACGAGAATAAATCAACGCYTCAAGCGATTTGACAATGTCTCTGTGAAACTGACTGACCTTTTTCACCAACAAACATTTCTCCTGRTTTTGCAAAGTGKTCTCACSTTCTGTTTTATTCAATTGCTCTTCATTTTCATGAATGCTTTCAAGAATKGATCTTCGTGTTCTTCTTGTWTTGGTGTTTTCCTGGAACARYGTTTTTACAACAAATTTCATCATTTTGTGACTTGATGTGATARTGTTACCAAAGTCAAAATTATAAGACAGATCTTTAGTTTGCCCGTCRGCCAAAGATATTGTGAAGCGAAGTAATACTCTTTCGAAATTAGTTTGTTCGGATATCAAGACATCAAAGACAAAATTTGAGACAGTTACAAGATTTTGGTTAGGTGTCTTGGAAAGCAGTTCTGATAGCTTCAAGCCAAGCCTCGTAGTTTGTGATTTCTTGACCAAGTTGATCGCCCTTTCTGTCCTGTTCTTAGCGTATTCTAATTGTGTTAACTCTGCTTTTGCAACTTTCAGTTCTTCTACCGCATTTTGCAGATTGTTGTTTGCCTTTTGCAGCTTTGCCCTTGCTGTCTCCATCTTGTTTGAAAGTCGACTAAGGTTAGTAAAYGTATTYACYACTTCTTTGTCAAACTCGGACAGYTTTTGAACATTTTTCAAAAGTATKTTATTTCTTTTCATGCATCGACTATTTTCCATCAAACAKTTGGGATCCATAACCTTAATACCGCAAGAACTATCAGAGCACGTTAGTTGTGGAGACTCGAAACTGTTTGTTTCTCTTCGTTCGATTACCGCTGTGCATACGCCTTTGGTAATGGGAATTCTTTCAGGTACTTCTTCAAGCCAGACCTTGGTGTACGAAACTTTTTTATCTGGRCCTCGTTTAGTTTCCCAGGTGTGATCACATCCGAATACCGCCTTAAAAACCAATTCAACTATTACAAATGGTGGGATAGGTAACTTGATGTCGCAATTTCCAGTGTAGATATGTTGCCAGGTTTTTACCCAATRGTATTCAGTCTTTGTTCTYTTTTTCACAACAATTCTTTCTACATACGTWTTGACATYYTTGCAGACATATTTTGTATCATCGATCACAAGTCTTTTGCTTTGGAAGATACACTTTTTGGTTTTGGAGCAGACTTTTGGACAAGGCTTCGGTCTGCAAGTCCTTTGACTAGGCTGATTAATATTACTTARCTGRGTGTTCTTGAAGTAATAATAGTCTCTCTTTGCTTGTTTTAGTGCAAAATCGTACCTCTTTCGWAGTTTTTCACATTTTTTGTACGYGCTGAAAACTTCCAACATAACATCTTTCTTGAAAAGGCGCAGCTCATTGTCTTTCTCYCTTGCGACATTTTGAGCGTTTTTCACTCTTGCTAATGCCTTACTTGCAATTTCACCAATGAAGGTATTTATTTGCYTCTGAAACTGATWAGGAAAACGAGTKTGCTTTGTCATGGATCCTCGCACATGGTATTTTACATGCGACCAGTCAGAAACWTCTAWKTTRCCAGTWACATTGAGCAAAGCCTCATATTTTCCAAAAAGTAATCCTGAAGCTTGGAAGTTGAGTYTTTGATTAAGGATTGTTGCCAAGACTGTCWYTTTTATTCCCATCATACTAATTTTGGGATTAAAACTAATAAAKGTTTTGCTATCSTCACTTGAAAAATATAATTTCATTTGGCTTTTCTGTGYMAGCTTCAGTATTTTGCTAAGTTGCAAATCTTCACYGAGAGTTTCACAAAWAACTWSTGCACCACGATTTGAGTTGAAGTGATTCGACCGGCTAATCAAGGCTATTAACATACTAGGAAAGCACACTTTTGCYGGACAAACKTTTCCTTGAAACCTTAGTGTAAAACCATCCAAATGTTGGYGAACATTAGACCGCTTGTACTGGACATCTGGWAATTGKGGAAGATTAAGTCTTAATTGYTTCAGCTGAATGGCAATAATTGCTGTTCCAGTAATTGCTGGGTTTGCAYTGACTGCTGAATCCACTATWATACAAAGTTGTTSGAAATTTTGTACCATATSTTTYAGTCTTAAAGTTAGCCTAGAAAACAGATCTATKYTGGACACTTCTGATGTACCGGTYTGGATTATTRAGCGAATGTCTTTGATTATGGTCTCTGCCTCGTTGATGTGATTTGTCCACCTTTGCAAACTTTCTTTCTGCATAAGGAGAGGTACTTGTGGATTGCTAAGGATGTTTCTTAGTTGAGGTAGAAGTAAACTTAATAAAGTCATTTTCATGTTAAACTCGCTTAGATTGGTAATATCAGTGTGCTTTCCACCACGTATTTTATGTTGAATAGCAATAAACAAGGGCTGGAGCGTATCTTGTCTCAATATCTCTGCAAATGGTGTTCCTTCGAGAGCATTGTGTGTGCCTTTGTACTTCAGGTACAAACCTTGGTCATCTGCATTTCCTAAAGATTGAATGAATTCGGCAATAAATTTAAAGTGGTGACTGCACACGGTTAAAAACACGTAAACATTATACATAGCAAGTCAACAACAACAAGACAACAGCAGCAATATTTATAACCACAGCGACAGAAAAAGCAAACTTAAAGGAGCAAGCTAAGAGTCTTTGTTTTGGTACTCACCACCAAGACTGGATATTCCTATTACGTTTTCCATGGGTATTCGTATAGACGCGTTCTTGTTGGAAATTAACGTTTTCAATACTACGGCTGCTTTCCCTTTGAATACAGTTGTTGTTYTTTGGAAGAATCCAAGATGGTCAATCTAAAACATAATGGCAAGTCGAGATTGAAATGCAATTTTCAACCTATTATGTTTTTTATACTACTCACTTAGGATCGGAAAATGAAGGTATAAATGAAGGTATAATACCATTCTGACAGAAAAACTAGTAATTGGGCARTTTATCATATTTAACCTGAGCTACCTTTGACTTTTGGGAGGAAAAAGGCTGACATCAAATTAAACTTYAAATTGAAAATTAACGAGAAAGGCTGATACATTTTTTGACACATACGAGTAGTCATCCTTACCATAGAGATGTTTTCTGTATTTAGATAAGCATTCCCTTCGTAATTTAGAAACACTTTTATACCATTGTTTTGAAGCTGGCACTTCATTGTTCCATCAATGGCAAGATTGTACTTGTGCACCTTATGGTAAAATACGTTTTTTCCATGCCAGATGCGAGAATTCACAGCAACATTTCTTCTGGCACCATTTCCAGAAAACACGAATCCCTTTGGTTCGATCGTCCATCCAGCCATTTTCATATCTCGGAAAATCTTTGAAGCCGTCGTCAGTCTTTTAACTTCAGTTCGTGGGAAACCGAACCCCACATCTGAGGAGCAGACATCAATCTCAAAACACAACCCTTTGGCATCWGTTAGTGTGACATCATGATCAAATGAAACAGTTATGCCGAGGTTAGGAGCAAAGGYTACAAGATTAGATGATTCGAGGATATTTGGACAGGAGGAATTTTCTGATTTTACTCCAGCATAMACGTCGTTTARGTCAAAAGTCTTCGATCTATCTTTTCTGTAAAGTTGAATCCAATTTGGTAWGGAACTCGTGAATGATTCAGCGAAAGCACGTGCAAAGTTATCGTTTTCAGCTAGCTCCAAGAGTTGAGGCAGTTCCAGTCTTGWGTTTCTACACTGTTGCTTTCCTTCTGTTGTAACCCTGGCRTATTTGCTGTATTGGTTAATAGTTTTGACGTTTTTCAGTATTTTTTTGTATGAGAGAGAAGTTGACGCACCAAGCAACGATAAAGGAATTCGTTTGCCCTTTGCAGTCATCAAATGAACAATTCCTTTCGTTGATGCTTGTTTACTTGCTGTTCTCCGATCCCAAGGCAACGTCGAAAATATCTTTGCTTTACAACTGAATCTGCTCGTCTTAACCTCGTAACAACCCAGTGGAAGCTCTCCAGGAAGGATGGGTTGGCTGGTAAAGATGCTATTTTTGGTGACTGATTCAGAGACAGTCAGCAGAACATCCACTGGTGGATTCTTGAAGTCTTTGGCACTTTTTCCTTGAATGGTGTAGGCTATAATGTCAAGTCCTGGATTCTTAGATGTCAGCGTAAAACTGGTTTTGGGTTTGGAATGTAGGACTTTAAGCGTTCTTGGTTTAGGGACAATATAGTCATCTGATTGAACTCTTATTTCAAGCTCATTGTAAGGTCTTGCATGAACGGTTAAGGATCCAGACTCACGGTTAGCTTTGAGCTTTGGAAAAYTTGGCACTTGAACAACACCTTCCTGGCAAAGGCGTCCTCTATATCCAGTATCAGAGCAGTTACATTTGAAGGACTTAGAGGACTCGATGACACAGGTACCATCATGCTGGCATGGGTTGGGTTTGCACAATTCGACAGCTGTAATATAAAAATTRMGAGAYTTTTTATCTAAATTTTTGTAAACAGTAAATAACGTAATAAGAACTTCTGTTTTCAGTCAAAACTTGCAGTGTTCTACCGCGAATTATTATCATGTAGGTGAAACTTCAATATATTTTCTTGTGCTTTTTTTCTACAGAAATTGGATGCAGTTCTGAGCGCCATCATCAACATGGGGATACATAATGTGCGAATTCTTTATTTGTTAAAATGGCAGTACTCTATTGCTGAATACATGTATTGCAAACTTACGATGACACTGGAAGTCGTTCATCCACTTCACACCGTGTTTATCCCGAGTCAGATCACAAGTCACTTTACTGTTTCCAGTAGAATAGAATCCAAACGAACAGCGAAGATCACAGGCAGACCCATAGGATCTATAACATGGCAGCGACAAGATCATGTGACTTGTTGGTTTTAGTGGCCCACATTCTTTGGCTGAATGCAAAACAAGGTTTTAGTGTATTCATCTCCATTTTAGGCTAATTTGTTTTATTGGTCGACAGTCGACCACGTGATGCGATAGTGACCGCCCCAGTGGGCTGCCATCAGTTCATAGAGGCCGCTGCTTCAGAAACGTTTGGCTGTATATTTCTCAAAACTTCATAGTCGCCGTTGAACTGCGTTCTCGGGTAACTATTTGCTTTTCGGAAAAGTTTCCGCATGCCCTATCCAACTACTCTATTGTTTATAAAAAGACCCCTTTGAACGTCGAAGGGGACTGCACAATATTTATAGGCCAGAGGAGAGAATCCAGAGGGGGTGACAAAATCTAATTTTATGTGCTCAAAGAGGGGGGGGGCAACGTCTAAAATTAACTGGAACTTTAATTCGAAACTGAAAAATCAACGTTGCAAGATAATGTGCTTTTTGGCCAAATACTTATTAAAGTCGAAAACTTGCCCCTACTGATAAATATTGCGCAAGAATGAAAAACTGTTGATTTCGGGCTTGGGATACACTATCTTCGATATTCAACGTTTTCTGAAATAGCTGTATTAGCATCAAAAATAAGAGAAGTAGTGCTGTTACCTTTGCATGATGGCTGAGAATCGCTCCATTTTGACGTAGTCATACATGTCAATTTAGATGGACCTTGTATGTTGTAACCATKGTYACATGAAAAYGAGCAGTTGCYATTGGTTACCATGTCAGTGCACGACATCTCGCCATGRGATGGCGGGTACAGTGTTGTGCAAGGAAGAGCTGGCAACAGAAAAATCGATAATAAAACAATTGTACCAGGACTACTTAATGTGCAATGTGGATCAACAGGTTTTGGAGTCCTATTTCAGTAAGGTGGCGCTTTATAGTGCCCCTGATGGCTATGGCTTTAAATGTGCAATCTGAAGCTCACCTTTACAAGATTTTCCATCCTTGTTAAGTTCGTATCCTTGAGTACAACGACACTGATAACTGCCCAAGCTATTGATGCACAAATGGCTGCACTGGTGAGTCCCGAGAGTACACTCGTTGATATCTTAAAACAAATAATATAATATAAAATGATTGCCTGCATTTTATCTAAAAAAAGGGCTAAATAAGTGAGGATTACTATCAGTAGAACTTGTAAAATCAGTTTTCTTTTAAAATCTGGTCTATAAATGTCAATGATGGTCATTTCCTGGCGATTCCTCCAGGAGCCACCAGAACAAATAAGATTTTAAGTTTGTAAATATAGACTTCATAAAGCGTCAATTAAGCTGCTGCTAAAGTTAGTTTAAGTCGACCTCAAATATTTTGGTTGAGTACCGTATTTACTCGAATAGCCGCCTCCCCCGAATAGACGCCGCCCTCGAATAAACGCCGCAGCTGAATCGTGAAAAAAGAAATAAACGCCGCGGCGTCTATTCGAGTAAATACGGTAATCATGTACAAAAGAATTGCAGACGAGGCTCTGGAGAAAAAAATGGATAATCTTAATGTTTCTCTTCATCTCCCCGGAGGCTCGTATCTACAAATATTTTGTGCATGCCCACTGAACCAAAATATCTAAAATMGCAAATTGTTCACCTTGACAGGTTCGTCCATCGCTGTTTAGTTTGTAGCCTGGTCGACATCCACAAGTATAAYTGCCTTCAGTATTTGAGCAGATCTGTTCACAGTGGTGTAGAGACGAATCACACTCGTTGACGTCTGATAACCAAATAGAGGAACTATCAGACTAAACCTTAAACTTAAAACTAATATAAAGCCGACATGCTTAGTTTTGCTCCAGCTATTACTGGCCTTCTCAAAAAATATATGATTTGACGTCTTGAATTCGATTGTCCAGAAAGAAACTTTTCAATTAACTTTAAGATGGAATAGCGATGCCACTGTTCACGCGCACTGTTTTAAAGTAACGCCCTTTGGGGTACTTCGGACGAATGTCTGATGAACGTGTCTGGTCTATCGCCCGAGGTGTCAAACATCATCGTTATCATCATCATTGCATCATAAATCTAATGGTAAGCAATATTATCAGCAGTTGATATCTACAAACGGGCTGGACAACATATTTTTTTCCAGTTAACTGGWTAAATACCTGAGCAGGATACATTATCGTGGTTCAGCTTATAGCCATCCTTACAAGAACACACAAAGCTGCCAGCCGTATTTTTACATCGATGGTCACATGGKTTGTTTTCAGAACACTCGTCGATATCTGAAAAAAGTTWTATATWRTCATTCTCGTGTTSAAAATTGCCTATAGGACTGGKGAGGCCGTTCCCTTTGTAAGTTGTKCAAGTTCAAGTTCAAGGGAATTTTATTTTTTGCAACCYAATTACAATGAGTGATGTGTTGGCCTGCAAAATAGTTAGAATCTTGATGACCAATTGTCAGTGCTCGCTGAACTAATTCAGAATGAAATCATATCTGATTTAGAAATGACACTTTGTTCTGAAATATATTTGGTCAATAATTATATAGTAAGTATCTAATATTGAATAAGTAACTATTGAATACGTCTATACAAGTGCATTTAGGATATGTAAACCTATATATACAATTCCTATGAGTCGCATCTGATAGTGTGCGGAAATTTTTGCCAATTTTTCGCCAACCTTTCTTCCATGGTGGAAGAACCTTAGACAACTCTGAGCTCGGATACGAAGGGACACAAAAACTCCCCCCCCCCCCTCCTTCTGTGTCTGTACCTTCGCAGGTTTTATTATTAGATGTCAATCGATATCCCTTGTTGCAAAGACATTGTCGCGAACCAGGGGTGTTTTTACAAGTATGTTCACATTGTCCATTTGCGGTTTGGCATTCGTCAATATCTGAAAAATGTAGAGAACATTAGAATAACAGAAGATCTATCTCTCGATCTATGCCCGGACCATAGGGCCGCCGACCAAGAGTGATGAGTGCCTCAAACCAAATTTCATATTTCACTTTAAATGTTCTTTTTTTTGTCTAGGGAAAGTATTCATTCTCTGATAATCAAGATTCTTTTAAAATAATTAAGATAATGAGATCTTGAAAATTGACTGCATTTTGATGGTGCTCTGTTGAAAATCTGGGAACTGTGTCGGTAGCCCAGTGAAAGGTGTCTTAACTTGTATCTCGAGACTGAGCCCAATACAAAGMTCCTTTTGTGTTGTGAACCAAACGCTTTTTCGTGCCGGTTTAAGTAAATGTCTTAATTTTGTTAATGTCTTAATAATAGAAGACAAAATTAAATGGAATGTATCAAATGATAATTTAGAATTTAAAATATACCTGTGCAAACTTTGCCATTCTGACTAGTGAGAAATCCTGGACGGCACACACAGGAGTAGGTACCAATGCTGTTGATGCATGTATGAGCACATCCATGACTTCCAGACGAACACTCATCTACATCTGGAATATACATTTGAACAAAATTGGCATTATTTTAGTACATATTGTAGCCAATTGAATGCATTTGTTTGTCAAAGCAGCGCCTCATTTGCAAAAGAGCACTGTTTGATATGTGCAGCTCTTTTCCCATTTATGGAATGGTTAGTTTTGCAACTATAATGATCTTAGAATAGTTTTGGTTCCTTTTAATCAATTTGATTAAAAAAGACATATCTATACAATCATGGCTATTATAACTCTGACAGTATTTYCWCGTGCTTTTCCGTGGGTTTTAAGAACGAGAAAATCTTGGAGCAAGAGAGTCTGYTGTCGRATAAGACAGCTGTCATCCTTTTTKAACTGGAAAATCGGAGGTCGTATTGTATTATGCGCGACAAACATCTGGTGRATGCATGATCTTCTCAGTCCACGTACCTTTGCATAAATTCTTTCCTTGAAGCTCAAACCCTTTCCCACAACGACATTCGTAGCTGCCAGGAGTGTTGGTACAGGTAGCTCCACAGGAATTAATGAGCGAAGCACATTTACACGGTGACGTATTACACTCATTGTAATCTACAATCATAGGCAAATTACTTTGGGGCACCTTCTAACGTTTTGATGCATGGTAAGTGCAATATCGATACAGTTCTTACCTCCAATGGATTTTTATTATATTTTTCTAATTTCGACATTTCTTTTTAAATTTTAAAAAGAAATAATAGTAAATTTGTTATTACGCACGTTATTATTTGCCATTGTGCACAGGGCTGTAATGATAACGTGTAAAACTCTAGCTATTTTCTGAGAGTAGTAGCGGAGGAGGACGCGGAAAGCTTTTTCCATAGTAAAATATACCTATGCATCTTTTGCCAGTTTTAGTGTATCCTGAATTACATCCACATCTGTATGAGCCCGCAGTATTTGTGCAAAGCTGCTGACAACCACCACGATTATAGGAACTACATTCATTGATATCTGTTGATACAAACAAGAAAATTAACGTAATTTACCGGAATTGGTACACGTTGGTACACAGGATTTCTTTAGAAGATATTTTTTGAGAGGAATTCATTGCTGTTTTCAGTAAACATTGTCGAAAAGAACTGGGATGCATCCCAGCGCAAACACTTGAATATTTCCGAGATCAAATCAAATACTTACACAAAACCAGAGTGCAGTGACATCATATTGACGTGATATGACGTCATAGTGATAATTCGATACGTAAGAACACCCCAATGACAAACCCTGGATATATATACATCCCAGAATTTACTCGACGTTTCTATAGTCATGTATCCAATCTTGCTAATAAATATTTTTGACACTTATTTTTCGGCATCTATTGTGCGGACAGAAGGCTTACCCAGAAATGAGAAGGGAATGAGAAGTCTGAGAAATACACCGATCTATTGATTTCGGAACAAGATTGGGCATGCAGAACGGATATTCGAGTATGTAGAACCTAATGACGCAAATGAACGTTTTACCTACCTGTATTACAATAATATCCTCTCCATCCACTGTTACAGGAGCAAGTGTTTGGACGAGAACAGTAGCCATGGTAACACGATTGGTGACAAATCGCTGATATTTGAAAAAGTTAAAAATGATAATTTAATCGTATCTTCAGTTAGGCAGCCATCTTCAATACGCCTTATTCCCGTTGAAATAGAGGCCGCTTTTAAAGTAGACAACAGACTCACTTATAATAGACACGAAAAAATGCTGACATTTGATACTTTTAGAAATTCGAATCTTCTCCCATGCATTTGAGGCTTTAAGCCTTTCTCAAATCAGAGGGAATGCAAATTTGTGCAGCTATTGAAAAGGACATTTTTTTGTGCTTCCTTTGGTTTTTAGAAAGGTCTCTGCACTAGAGAGACTGATCTAAACTAAAACAGCCGTCTCTCGCTGTTAGAAGAAGAAGAAGAAGAAGAAGAAGAAGAAGAAGAAGAAGAAGAAGAAGAAGAAGAAGAAGACAAGCAAACTAAAATTAAGAAAAACGCAATGTAAGGACAAGGAAAAAACAAAACAAAACGAGTAAAAACCAACAGCTTACCACTACTGCAGTGACTGCTTCCTGACCAAGACTTTTGCCATCCTGAGCAACAGTAATAGCGTGTCTGGAGTTGGATGGTAGTCCTTCTTCCATAATAGTAAATTCGATAAGATCTGTAGTTATGGACAAAAAGAGCACAAAACGATCAGATAGATAATTGTGTTTAAATGAAGTCCAAGCCCATGTATAGCTTCAGCTCACTTTGGGCTCCCTGTGGAAAAAGCGGAAGTCGCCTTCTCGTAGGAGACAGTTGTCACAAACGTATAACGTACCTTGTTCGTTTACATCTACTCCATCCAAATAGACCACATTTGGAGTAGTAGTCACGGTAACCCCATCGATGACTTATGTATGTTGTATAAACTGTAACATAAGTGCTTGTGGAGCACACATTGTCCCTAAAAGCAACTTTAACTGGTTATTTTAGTTTCAAAACCTCAGCTTTTCTGCCAGTCTTACTGATGACTGAATCAATTCTCGAAAATTATGCTTAACAATATAGAAAACATCCAAATTGTCATCGGCCCAAAGCGGTTTGAAGGATACATTGCATTATATTCGATATTACATTCATTTTGTTTTACCTAAAACTATCAGCCTGTCCTGGAGTAAGATGCATTACTTGCCTGGTAAATTTCGCATTTTTAGACCGCCATTAATCGAGCGCAATGACTTTGTTATTCCAATTCGGCAATTTTTAGTTCGTTTCCTGATGCAATTGACGCAAGACTAGCACTTTTAACGTATAAGAAGTCCTGCAGTGGATGTGGGTATGCCGGAACAAAAGAAAAGACAACAAGT